AGGGGGTCTGAATACTTTCCGTACCCACTGTATATATATATATATATATATATATATATTTAAATCTAGATTAAAACATATGCACTAAGTTCTGAGAAATGTATTTGTTGTATTCATATTGGTTTCATATGAGGAACAATTCCACTCATTCTCTGCTATAGGAGAGGAAGAATTGTATAAACTTGTTAAATCATCTAAACCAAAAACGTGTATGTAAGACCCTATACCATCTAAGCTACTAAAAGAGGTGCTCCCAGAAGCCATAGACCCTATTCTGAATATTATTAATTTGTCAGTGCCATTAGGATAAGTCCCAAAAACCTTAAAACTGGCTATTATTAAGCCTCTCAAAAACTTTTTCCTAGAGAATTAGTTAATTACAGACCGATCTCAAATCTCCCTTTTCTGTCAAAGATACTAGTCAAGGCAGTATCCTCTCAGCTATGTTCCTTCTTTGAGAAAAAATGGTATCTGTGAGGATTTCCAGTCAGGATTTAGACTGTATCATAGTATTGAGACTGCTCTCATCATCTGATCATGGTTGTAGCTCTCTATTAGTGCTACTGGATCTTAGCGCTGTGTTCGACAATATTGATTACAATATTCTTTTGAGTAGACTACAAAATTATGTTGGCATTAGTGGAATTGTATTGGCATGGTTTAAATCATAACTATCTGACCATCATCAAATCGTAGCAGTGAATGAAGAGCTATCATATCGATCACATGTGCAGAATGGAGTACCACAAGGCTAAGTACTAGGGCCCTTGCTTTTCATGCTTTACAGGCCAACATGGTGTTAGCTTTCACTGTTATGCTGATGATACCCAGTTCTATATTTCTTTGCGGCCAGATGAAACATACCAATTCGCAAAACTAACAGAAAGCAAAGTTGATATAAAAACTAGATGACTAGTAGTTTCCTACTGGTAAATTCTGAAAAAAACATAACAGAGGTGTTACTTATCGGACCAAAAACCACTGCATGCAATAACCTAGAACACTGTCTAACACTTGATGTCTAAATTGTAAATTTTTCGCCAACAGTTAGGAACCTGTGTGTGCTATTTGATAGCAATCTTTCCTTTGAAAACCACATTTCTATCAAGGAAGTATGACCATATTAGCCTGGTTCTGTCAACACTGTACTGGCTCCCTATTGAACATCGAATACATTTTAAAATCTTGCTAATTACTTATAAAGCTCTGAATGGTTTAGCTCCTCAGTACTTGAGCGAGCTCTTATCACATTATTGTCCTTCGTGTTCGCGGCAATCTCAAATCTCTGGCCATTTGATAATACCTAGAATATCAAAATCAACTGCGGGCGGCAGATCCTTTTCCTATTTAGCGCCCAAACTCTGGAAAAATCTACCTAGCGTTGCTCGGGAGGCACACAGCATCACATTTCTATAATTCAAATCTGTTAAAGGATTGTTAGGCTGCCTTATTTAGGTCAACTGGAACCGGGAACACTTCCCATAACACCCGTTGTACTTGCTACATCGTAAGAAGAATGGCATCTATGCTAATATTAGTCTGTTTCATTCTTATTCCGAGGTTTACGTAGCCATACATATCCAGTCTGTATCCAGATCAGATGGTGGATCAGTACCTAGAGACGACATCTATAGCCCTGAATGTCAGCGGAGACTATGTCAACTAGATGAGCCCTATAGACAGATCCCCTGGGAAGAACACGTCAACTAGACAGCCATCGGCACAAGACCACAAGAACCAGACAAGTCCTCTGCACAATCTAACATGAGTTGCAGCCTGTAATTAAACCACACCATGCTGGTTTTGTCTGGTCAGAAGAGAACTGGCCCCCCGACTGAGCCTGGCTTCTCCCAAGGTTTTTTTTTTCTCCATTTCTGTCACAGATGGAGTTTTGGTTCCTTGCCACTGTCACCTTTGGCTTGCTTAGTTGGGGATTCTGGCAATATTGTCGGCTTGATTGCACAGACACTATTTGAAGACAACAGACCTGAGCTGGATGATGACATCATCGTCCACAGTCAGGACTTGGCATTCTGATATTTCTCATTGACTCAGACTTCTTTATCCTGAATTATGTTGCTACATTAAATTGTCATTAAGAACATTAACGATATCTGCTACATTTATATTGGTTCTGTTCTGTTTATTCTAAGGGGGTTATCACTGCTCAGCGTGGTTGAGCAGGGCATTTTTTGCCCAGAATAGTACCATACCGCCAACCCAAACTGTGTGCTACTTGTCAATCATCTTTGACGATAGTGGTCCTGACAGAAATCTCATTAAAAAAAACCTTATTGACCTTGGCACAGTCATGAGGGTGTGTTTTTTTTTTCTTTATGTTTCTGCACAATGGTTGCACAACATGACCTTGGTTTGGCAAATTTTATTATTAGGTATTTCACTAAATCTACGATTAAACTACTGCATTGCTAATTTCTTTCTAAGAAATATTAAAAGTAATTCCAAACGACTTGTTTTTCTTTTCATGAATTTCATTCTTTTAATGAGGCTTTGTTCTTCATCATGATATCATGTCATGTATGAATTGTATTTTCTTATGTATTTTTGAATAAATAAACCAGTTTAAAAACTGGATTGAATACTATTGGAACAGTACCCTTTTTCTCCTCCTCTCTCTTGAGTTTATCCTCTTCATATTCTTTAGGCAGCTTCTCTTTCTTCTCTTTCTCCACGTCACTGTGCAGGTGTTTAGTGGTGTAGCTGAGGGCCGGCGACAGCAGAATCTCTCCATTCTTACACAATTCATCTCGGATCCGGATAAAGAACTGCTGGAGCTCCACAGAGTCCTCAAAGATCTCAGAATCCGTCCTATGACACAAATTAAAACATTTGGTATTGTGAGAGACCAGCACTTTGCCTCTCCAGATACATAAACGAGTGAATGAATAGCCTCACCTGTGCAGACGTCTGGCTTTCTCCAAAACTTCAAACATATGGTCCTGGAACACATCTAGTCTCCTATAACGGCCCTTATCCACATTAGCTCTGATGATCTCAAAGTTCAATGGAGTCTTATCGGGATTGTTGGGATCAACAGCTGGAATCTCTGCCAGTGAGTCACTATAGCAACGTCCTTCATCATCCTGGTGACCAAGAACTGAGACGAAAAGATTGCGAATGAGCTCCTGGATGAGCCGTGCAACATCTGGGACATTCCCGTCATCACCTCCCTCCAAGTCTCTCCTGGTCTCCAAAAGCACTTTGTGAAGCACCAATGCATCTTTGTAGATCAGTGATTCAGGTTCGTTGTAGGTGCACGCGTTGTTGAACATCAACACTAAGTCTTCCACCAAAGCATCAACATCCTGGTACTTGTTGGCCAGCATGTGGCTCTTCACCTTCTCCATGTCTATGGGTTTCTTGATAGCCACATAGTAGTCTGGAAGCTCGGAGCGGGATGGAAGACGGAGGAAGATTGTGCTGAGACGCCGTCTACGCTTATCAGTGTAGTTCTTCACTGCTTCATAGAGTTCATTGAGTTTCTGTTGCAGAGGAGTCAGGTACTTGGACTTTTTAGGAGAGATGCCACTCTTCCCTGGAATGGAAGTGGCACATGGTCAGTCGCAGCTTCCTAAGAGGATTGGTGTTATGTAGACTGAAACCCACAACTCCTAAGACTTAACTCCAAAAAAAAAAAAAGAGTTTAATTCTTAAAATACTTTCAGTGTAACATGCAACAAATAAAAGTATTTGAAGGTTGAAAGGAGTAAATATTGTGGCTCTGAGGAGCTTTCACAACATTGCTTCATTAGTTTGAGTGGCCCAGTTAATCTAATGGCGTGAGTATGGGGCGGGACTACCTATAAAAAGCTGGACATTGACTATACATGCAAATGGTGCGGAACAGGTACTAGAAAAGTTTAGGAAATGTCTTTTGGGAATAGAAATTTCAAACTTTTTCAGATTATACTACAATTAATGATTTGTTGTAGTCTACCAATGATAAACTGTCCTACAAAGAGTGTATGGGGGAGTGTATAATTTTGCTAAATTTAAAACATTAAACCATCAAGCTTTTACTTTTGTGGAAAACCACAGGAAGCACTGGTTTATAAGCACTTCTTAATAAGAGGATAACTGGTGCATGTTCTCTGCCCAAATGCACACGTCAAGGAACCCAAACTGAGCACATGCAGAGTTTATTTGGAACAGAATTTACTGCGAACCTAGCCTCTCCAAGACACTGAAAACACCAAATCATAAGCTGCTCATGTGCAAAACTACACAGTGCTGTGCTTCACTCTGAAACACGAACCCCATATATTTATTGAATTAAATTGCAACCTTTATTATTTGATAATCGCACTAAGCCATATTGCGATTTTGTTTGCTGTTTTGATTAATTATTGAACCCTAATTCAAAGTAAGGTATACACATACAATGCTTTCAAAACATACTAATTTTCAGCTTGGGTGAAATGATGTCATCGTCATCCGGCGGAGGTCCAAGTTCCCTTCGTTTTTCTCTTAATACCTTCTCCAGAACGTTGGCGTCATTGTAAACCTAGAGTCAAACCAACAAGCTAGTCATGAAACAACAGAGCAGCTAGTATTTATAAAACCTAGGACAACAAAAATGAGCTCAAAAAGCTAATTTACTCTATACCAGTGATGGGCAAACTTGGCCCTTCCAGGCCACTTTTCTGCAGAGATTTGATCCAACCCTGATATGACTCACCTGCCTGTAGCCTTCTAGTAGTCTTGAAGACAATGATTAGCTGGTTCAGGTGTGTTTGATTAGGGTTGGAGCTAACCTCTGAAGGAAAGTGGCCTGGAAGGGCCAAGTTTGCCCACACCTGCCCTATACAGTCTTTCCAATCTTAGTGGTAACCTTCAAACTCACTTGTGAACCTTCTTCATTGTAGTGACGTGCATTACGGAACATCAGCTTCATGTCCTCCATCATGGCGTCCTCGCTGGGGTATCTGTCAGAGCGGATGTTGTGGTCGATGGTCCTCAGGTCCACTGGCTCCAGTATAATCTTGTAGTAGTCCGGGTAGTCTTTTTTTGAGGGCTTGACCATAAATAGGTCACAGAGTCTCCGGCCTGTGCCCATCTCCCGAGCCTCTGCCACAGCAGCGTACAGAGCCTTCATGCGGTTCTTCTTTGTGTTCTTCTTATAGCTGCCAGATTTGATACGTTAGGACCAAAAGCAACTGTCACCTTCGCATAGCGTGAAAGTTTTAAGACTATAACAAGCTCCTAACATATAAGTATTTTACTAATGCTGTGAATGTACCTTTTGCGCTTGGTGCTGCCCCCATCAGAAAGAGTAGATGACAGCATGCTATCTCCATCTTCATCATCTCTCCTCGTCAGTTCTTTCCTCTTCATCTGAATATATACACACACATACCCAAATATAGATTGCATCTGGATTCTTTCTGTATGTCAAATGTTGGTGGAGCATGTTCACAGTTGTTGGGATGAACTATATTTAGTTTCCTATATACAGTATAGTTCATGTTTATAAGCCCTCAGTTCTCCCTTAGGCTTTGCAAGTTCTTGTTTGTAGATGGTGGTTTTCTCCTTAGTTGTTCCTGTTTCCTGATTAAAAGTATATTTCCTTGCTATTCCTCTTCAATAGAGTTTCTTCTTGAAACCACATTACGTAACAATAATACAGATATTGTTGTTATGAAGTAATACACAAGATATTGTTGGCACAAATTAAGAATATTTTCCCACAACTTGTTACATTGTGTCCACGTTGTACTAATTTGTTCCATCATTTTAGATACATTTTTGGCCATTAATATATCTTGGGAACAACTTCTTAATTAGTTTTTTGTTGGTTTCAAGGGATATTTGTCTTCATGAATAAGAGATAAGAGGGATTGCTTATGGAATAATAACACTTTTTGGGATTTGTGTTTTTCAGATAAAGTCTTATAATTGAAAGAGACGCAGCTAAGATTATTCAACAAACTCTGCTCCTTTTTTATCATCATTACTTCGTCTCCTGCTTCTGCTCTTCACTTGGCTTTACTTAGTCAACTTCTTGGCTGATAGAAGACTGTTAATACAGTTTTAATACATAACACTGGTTTTGGTACCAGACAAGACTTGCTGTTAACAGGTTTTGGGTATTAGACAAATTTGTTGACTAGTTGTTTCCAGACTAAATTGATTTTTGAACTCTGATCTAATGCAATAACATTCATGCACTTTTAAGAGTGGCTTAAATGGCTAAATACTTTTTGGGGACGCATGTACAAACCCAACTAAAAAAGTTGGGACAGGTAGCAATAAGAGGCCGGAAAAGTTAAATGTACATATAAGGAACAGCTGGAGGACCATTTTGCAACTTATTAGGTCAATTGGCAACATGATTGGGTATAAAAAGAGCCTCTTAGAGTGGCAGTGTCTCTCAGAAGTCAAGATGGGCAGAGGATCACCAATTCCCCCAATGCTGCGGCGAAAAATAGTGGAGCAATATCAGAAAGGAGTTTCTCAGAGAAAAATTGCAAAGAGTTTGAAGTTATCATCATCTACAGTGCATAATATCATCCAAAGATTCAGAGAATCTGGAACAATCTCTGTGCGTAAGGGTCAAGGCCGGAAAACTATACTGGATGACCTCTATAGGTCAAAAAAGAAGCCATATCTAAACATGATCCAGAAGCGCAGGCGTTTTCTCTGGGCCAAGGCTCATTTAAAATGGACTGTGGCAAAGTGGAAAACTGTTCTGTGGTCAGACGAATCAAAATTTGAAGTTCTTTTTGGAAAACTGGGACGCCATGTCATCCGGACTAAAGAGGACAAGGACAACCCAAGTTGTTATCAGCGCTCAGTTCAGAAGCCTGCATCTCTGATGGTATGGGGTTGCATGAGTGCGTGTGGCATGGGCAGCTTACACATCTGGAAAGGCACCATCAATGCTGAAAGGTATATCCAAGTTCTAGAACAACATATGCTCCCATCCAGACGTCGTCTCTTTCAGGGAAGACCTTGCATTTTCCAACATGACAATGCCAGACCACATACTGCATCAATTACAACATCATGGCTGCGTAGAAGAAGGATCCGGGTACTGAAATGGCCAGCCTGCAGTCCAGATCTTTCACCCATAGAAAACATTTGGCGCATCATAACGAGGAAGATGCGACAAAGAAGACCTAAGACCGTTGAGCAACTAGAAGCCTGTATTAGACAAGAATGGGACAACATTCCTATTCCTAAACTTGAGCAACTTGTCTCCTCAGTCCCCAGACGTTTGCAGACTGTTATAAAAAGAAGAGGGGATGCCACACATGCCACAAAATGCCACAAAAGTCCCAACTTTTTTGAGATGTGTTGATGCCATGAAATTTTAAATCAACTTATTTTTCCCTTAAAATGATACATTTTCTCAGTTTAAACATTTGATATGTCATCTATGTTGTATTCTGAATAAAATATTGAAATTTGAAACTTCCACATCATTGCATTCTGTTTTTATTCACAATTTGTACAGTGTCCCAACTTTTTTGGAATCGGGTTTGTACACACCAAAGAATCATTATCAATCAGTTATGTTGAACTCTCTTTTGTTCTTTGATAAACTTGTCAAAGCACAAAGGATTAATTCCAACTGCACTGGCTATTGAGTTACTATAATTTACTTGGAACGTCTTTATTTGGAATGGATTTACATTACCTGCGATATATGCTGCAACTTTAGCACACGTTTGCAGATTTGAGAGTTGGGAACATTGTAGCGTTTTGCGTTCTCAAACATCAGGTTGAGGTCTGTGTCTATCTGTTCCACACTTTCATACTCATTGTTCTTCATCCTACTCCTGAGGAGAGATAAAATACATCACTGTGTTCAAAACTGAAGAACATGCATAGATGTTGTCCTACTGTACCTTATCTGCTGGAGGGAGATTGGATGGCTGATTTGCTGGAAGTAGTTGGGGTAATCTTTCCTGGAGGGAAGCTGAAAGAAGGGCTCTGCTAAAAGCTGTCCCTGGTTGTTCCTACAGCCCCGCACTGCCTCGTACATCTGGAAGATGGGGTTGCTCATGTCCATGCTTGAGTGGATGCTGTCAGCTTCTGATTCGCCCTCATCGTAATGAACAGAGCCTTAAGAACATGCAAACACTCCTCTAATTACTACATAAGCCAATAATGAGACATAATAACATAATATACTGATGTTACATCTCTTCAACAGTTCTATAGATGTCATCATGTGTGACGTACCGGTTAATATGGCGTCCTCTTCACTCTCTGAGCCATACTGTAGAGCAGTAGTGATGGAGGAGAGTCGGTCTCCCTGTGCAAACCTTCTGTTCCTGTTCACAAACACCAGTGCAAATATAACACTATATGTGACCCTGGAGCACAAAAGCAGTCTTAAGTCGCTGGGGTATATTTGTAGCAATAGCCAAAAATACATTGTATGGGTCAAAATGATAGATTTTTCTTTTATGCCAAAAACCATTTATAAACCATAGACAGGGGTGATATCAGATGGTTTTACAATGCAACATATTGTAAAACTAATATATCTGTTATAATTTAATAATAATTAGAGTTGAGAAATAGTATTATATTATATAACTAACAAATTGGGGTAAAAATGTGGTCAAATGTAATCCATAACATAACTTATCCTGATGCTGAAAACACATTTGATATAATACAATAGTAATTATAGATACTAGATATTATATTATATTATACATTGACTTAAGCTAAAACATGTAGCTAAATAAAATTAAGTGTGTTATGGTAACATGAAATCCATAACATAATTTACCTGATCCTGATGCTGCTTTTAATAGGTTCCGAATGTTCAAGCTCCAGTTTTCTCTGCGCAAAAATCTTTTTGATGGTGTTTGCATCCTGGAAATTCACATATACGAGTATGAGAATAAATATGAATATAACTCTAAGATATAAATATCAAAAGAATTTCAGTGACACCTTACTTTAAATACTTGTGATCCGGGTTCATTGTAGGTTTTGGCATTTTTGACTAACAAGTCAATGTCTTTAGTCATATGGTTTACACTTTTATAGAAGCCCATCTAGGGCCAAAAAGAAACAAGCTTCAGTGTAAATCCATAATAAATGGCAATATTGTATATGAGCATGATCATAACACAAGATACCTGTATTCGTTGTGCAATGGTCTTCAGATCTATTGGTTCTTTGATAACAGCATAATAATCTGGATATTGCTGAAAAAGAATGTTTAAATGAATAATAATAATAATAATATGATATTTTTGTGCTGGAATGAAATCGAGAGGACTACCACTTTAGAGGGAAGTCTCTGGAAAAGTTCACTAATGAGACGCCCGTGTTCGGTGTACATCAGCACAGCCTCCAGAAGCTGCCCAAGAACTTCCTTAAGGCTCGAGATAGACTGAAACCAAATAAACCAGAATGATTTGTCTGGACACATCTAAAACGCATTAGTACAGGTTCAAAGCATGAGATGTAGGACAACACTGAGACAGGCGGATGTAGAACGACAGACAAGATCTGGGGCTTCTCACCTCCTCCTCTGTGGCCCCTCCAGGGTTTTCCTGTGAGTCGTCATCGTCATCGTCTTCATCATAGTCCCCTCGCTGCACAAACTCATTTTTGGTGCGAATATACAGATCCCACAGTTTACAAGCCGCTCTGTACTCCGGAGTTTCTGGCTGCACGGGGGAAAAAAAGGTTTCAGTGTATTTTTTTGGTGGAGCTACAGAAAGAATACAAGAAACACCAATACGCACAATAATTAAATCAGAATTTGATATATACACACTTTGTAGTATGTCTTGGCATTGTTGAATAAGAGCTGAAAATCAGCTGTGAGCTGCTCGACGTCGTCATACTCCTCCATCTTCAGCTTCTGCTGGACTTTCATCATGTCAATGGGCTGAGACACCACATCATAGTAATCCGGCTGGTTCCTGTAGGGAAGCATTATCTGCGTTATCCATTATGATGTTAACACTTATTTCATTTTTAGTTGATAGTAAACTATCAAAAGCTGTCAGACTGCCCAAATGGTTAAAGGGCAGACATCTCTAATGTGTGACTGACCTTCTCTTTGGTGCTCTGATGAAGAGCTCACACAGCATCCTGCCCTGATCATCCTTATAGTCTCTGATAGTGTTGTACAACTCGTGACACACGGCAATCTGTAAAGGAAAAGCTTACTGAATAACATCTGCGATTTCCCTAAAGCAGACTGTGACGTCATTTGATCTGCGAGAGCCATTCATTGATTTAACTCACATTTCTGCATAACATATGAGGGGAAATGTGTTATTATGCAGTTTTTTATTAAATACACAAACTCAATTGAACTCACGGGGTCAACAGTGGGGATGCTTGTGGTTCTTCTCCTCTTCCGACTGGTTGAAGGTATGGATGTGGTCTGGCTGTCCTCAAAATCTCCTCCGCTCACACTGCTGGATGGAGAAGTGGCTCTCCGTCGCTTGGAGCCCATTGTAAAAGCCCTTCACACAGAAAAAGGACATAATAACTCAAATAGTTGAAGAGAAAATGACTGTTGAATTTGTTAGCGGTACAGTATTGGTGGCTGAGGGGCCGGGTGGTGCAGTAACTACACTGTAAAAGAATATTGTTTCACAGAAAAAAAAAGAAGCTGGGGTTGCCAAAATAATCGAGTAAAAACACATTTACAACCTGCACATTTTACAGTTTAAAACGGTAATTTACAAAATAAAAGTATTCCATTTTAAATTGGCAAATCCAACAGTGCTTTTCTGATGAAGGCCTGCTACTAAACGATGTTTTGGACCCGTAACTTATACTGATAACCTCCATAATAACACAGGTGGTAGAGAGAAAGTTACATCACAATTAAAGCTACCACAAGTAGCTTTTCTGCAAGCGGAGAGAAATACTAGAAGGTGCACAGTGTCATGCAAACAAATTCTAAACACCATCATGGTAACAACACACTAAAACAATGCATTATACATGAATTAAACAACATGAGTTGTATCATAAAACCCTAATATACATAACTGACTATTACCACAATTCTTGAAATAAAATATCGTCAAATTTGAATCGATTTTTTCCACTGTAAATTATAAGACGACTTGTTCTTTTTCACTTCCACAAACTGTACATTTAACAGTTTTTTTACGGTAAGGTTATCTCTAAGGGAACTTAGAGTCAACCAATTAACTGCATCGTTACAGTCTTTAACTGTTAACACTTCTATCGTTATTTTACAGTGTACAGTTACAGGTATAATTGTGGCAATTTAAGCCAACACTGTAATCAATACATTAAGAGTCTGAAAACTTCTTCGAACGACATCAAATATTAGTTTACGTATAATGCATAATAGTAACATTACTATAGTAACTGATATTCTGGTTGAAACTATGCTTATCACGGGTAAGCCAACGCAAATGTGTTTTCAAATCAAATTAGACCTATTTTGTTAACTAATGGATTATTGTCGTCTTTGTCATGAATTAACAGTAAGCTTCTTAGAGTAATCCTACAGTAATACTTTTTATTACTATTTACCAACAGAGTTAATATGCCTTGCCAGTGTCGTTTTTTACAAAAATGTGCCATGGTAGCCATAATTCCCCTAAAAAGCAATAGTTACTCCAATTAGTATATGTAAAGCGTCTGCGAAATGATTAAATGGAAACAAAACCACTCGGGTAAAGTGGTCACTACTATCACAAAAATAAATAAATATAATATTTTCTTTACATTAATCATTATAACTATGGATGTTGGTGGAAAATGCGTAGGGTCCAACAGGAAATTGTTTTCAAAAAAAGTAATTAAATACCTTTTTTACACAATGGAGTATTATTGACGTGGCAGGAATCCTGTTAAAGATATACTTAAGTACAGTAATGCTTGTTAATGCCAGCTTAATAACAGCATTAGTGGCAGCTGGTACGTCTAAATAGTCATGTGTATCCATGTTAGTCATTTTTGAAACTGTGTGTAAAAATAAAACTGCACAAGAAGCTGCATATCAACACGGCTTCTGCCTGATTTTTATTATGCTGTACAGTAACATCTCATACATGAGCGATGTGCATCTATGAGAACCTGTGATTAGCTGCATTTCTTATCATGACCGATGACCAATGCTCTTCAACAGTGTTTGCAGGACGAGGATGATGATGATGATGCTGGTGATGAAGGTGGGACCGCTGTGTGTCTGACTCTGCAGACACAAGCTGTGTGACACATGCATCAGCACAGGAGGATAAAAACAAAGCCACACACACACACTCACACGCACTGGGCCATGCAACGCTTTGCGTGATGATGCTCGCGCTTTATTATAGCATGAACAGCAGACAATACAGAGCGCGCGAGCTGCAGGCCTTACCGTCCGTGTCTGATCAGCTGCCTCTGAGAGCTGTCTGAGGACTGACACACACTCAACACGGAGGAGTCTGATTGAGTTATTAAATAAAACCAAGAGGGAGACAAATTAACCCTTTACGGTGCGAAAGCGGAAGCGGAAGTGAGGAACAGAGACGCGTGCTTCGCTGTGTGTGTGTGTGAGCGAGAGAGAGAGAGAGGAGCTCGTGCTGAAGCGTCGACAGACATGAAGAGACCGAGTGAGTATATAATCTCAAAAAACAAAATTAGAATACGTACACGCTTTAACCATACAATACCGTCCGTGTCTGATCAGCTGCCTCTGAGAGCTGTCTGAGGACTGACACACACTCAACACGGAGGAGTCTGATTGAGTTATTAAATAAAACCAAGAGGGAGACAAATTAACCCTTTACGGTGCGAAAGCGGAAGCGGAAGTGAGGAACAGAGACGCGTGCTTCGCTGTGTGTGTGTGTGAGCGAGAGAGAGAGGAGCTCGTGCTGAAGCGTCGACAGACATGAAGAGACCGAGTGAGTATATAATCTCAAAAAACAAAATTAGAATACGTACACGCTTTAACCATACATATCCAACGGAAATCATTATATTTAACTTACCAGTTGCTCGTTATAAGGACGCAATAAGCCGTCGGAAGCTGTAAAACACACTGACGAAACTCATGTGTCTGTGTTGTAGAGTTGAAGAAGGCGAGCAAACGCCTATCATGTGCCAAACGCTTCAAAATACAAAAGAAGGTAAGAGGTGTTAACTGTCCGTGCACGATATATAAGTGAACAGGCTTTGGTGGCGACCTGGTTGTTGTCAACAAACTAGAGCTTAAAATCGCTAACAAAAAGTAACGTACCACGGTTTCACCGTGGTGTCCATAAGAGGTTTAGTGAATGCGTGTCTCTCTGTGTGTGACTCCAAGTACCAATGTGATACCTTTTCATACGGTTTTTTATTTTATTATTATATTAACTGTATTTTTGCATGTTCCACTTTCAGTGCATTACTGTTTTGTAAGTTATTTATATGTTGTCAAAGTCATGTTATAAGTTTGTGTTTGTCCTATATTAGAGATGTGTGCCAACATTAAAATTATGGGTGATATTAATAGGTCTAAATTGTTATTGCTAGTGCTGGTCGGTATGACCAAAAATTTATATCACGGTACTTTTCTAAATTATACCGGTTTCACGGTACAAGACGATATTTTTTTTTTCATGCATGACCGGGTGTTAAGAGAGTGAAGAGGAGGGGGCTCAGCACACATCCTTGGGGGGCCCCAGTGTTCAGTGTGATGGTGAACTGACCCGAACTGCCTGAGGTCTTCCATCAGAAAGTCCAACAGCCAGTTGCACAGCGAAGTGTTGAGCCCCAGCTGGACAGACTTTTTTATGACTAAATTTGGTAATGGGAGAGTAAAAATATTTTTAAAACGTACACCGTTCAAACTAGGCTGCTTATGTTGAAGTGTTTGGGATGTGGCTTTTAATGATTTAATGGCCAAAATTTTCATATCGGTGCATCCCTATTTTTAATGAAAAATTGACTTTTATCTTGACTTTAGGTTTCCCTAATGTTGGAAAGAGCAGCATCATCAATAGTCTGAAAGAAATCCGAGTGTGTCATATTGGTGTGCAGAGAGGAGTGACCAGGTAAAGTTTCACTATTTGGTGTCTTTGCAGATGTGAATTTGAAGCATGATGAACTGTATTAGACTGACCAAAGCATGAAGTCTTCAATCAATCCAACACTGAGCTTCATATCCCACCATGCATTTCTGCTGCAAGGCATTGAGATACCGCCTCGATAACATTCTTCCCCCCTCCATGTAGATGCAAGCAGGAAGTGCATATTATTAAGAGGGTGAAGATGATTGATAGTCCAGGGATCGTGGCGGCTCCCAGTAGCCCAGGGGATGCGATGACCCTCAGGAGCCTGCAGGTAGAGGAGAAGGAGGAGAGTCCACTGGAAGCGGTCAGGACTCTGCTCAAACAGTGCAATCAGCAGCATGTAAGGAACATCACTGCTCATGACAGCCAAACTGGAGATTTGTGGTTTAAGTTCATGTCTGTTAGCTTTAAAGAGAGATTTCACCCAAAAATGGAAATTCTGTCATTTACTCGTCCTTGTTGTTCTAAACCTGTGTGAGTTTCTTTCTTCTATTTAACACGGAAGAAGAAATGTTGAAGAATAAGAATGACCAAACAGTTGATCGACCCCATTGACTTCCACAGTATGGAAGAAAACACTATGGAAGTGTATAGTGTAGTATAGTGCATCATTTGGGACTCAAATAACGTCTTTTTTGCGTTAAAGGGATACTCCACCCCAAAATTAAAATTTTGTCATTAATCACTTACCCCCATGTCGTTCCAAACCTGTAAAAGCTTTGTTCGTCTTCAGAACACAATTTAAGATATTTTGGATGAAAACCCGGGATGCTTGTGACTGTCCCATTGACTGCCAAGTAACTTACACTGTCAAGGTCCAGAAAAGTATGAAAGACATCATCAGAATAGTCCATCTGCCATCAGTGGTTCAACTGTAACGTTATGAAGCGACGAGAATACTTTTTGTACGAGAAGAAAACAAAAATAATGACTTTATTCAACAATTCGTCTCACCTGTGTGTGTTACCGTAGTGCCATTTTGGAGAATATCCGCTGAACGCAAGCAGCGTACGCACTTCTGTGTCAGCCATGACACAAGGATATGTTTTCTATGTGTATTTACGCTTTGATTTGAACAAAAACAGCGCACCCCACGGCTGTGGCCGCGGCATTCTCCAAAATGGCGCTATGGTGATGCGGAGAATAAAGTCGTTATTTTAGTTTTCTTCGCGTACAAAAAGTATTCTCGTCGCTTCATAACGTTACGGTTGAACCACTGATGGCAGATGGACTATTCTGACGATGTCTTTCATACTTTTCTGGACCTTGAGTGTAATTTACTTGGTAGTCAATGGGACAGTCACAAGCCTCCCGGTTTTCATCCAAAATATCTTAAATTGTGTTCTGAAGAGGAACGAAGCTTTTATGGGTTTGGAACGACATGGGGGTAAGTGATTAATGACAATTTTCATTTTGGGGTGGAGTATCCCTTTAACGCTCAGACTTCATACTCTCCTGAATTGGTTACAAAGGAAGTGGATGGAATGTATTCATTTTGAAAGCATCAACATCACTTACGTCCAGTTTCTAAAATGAAGGGGCATTTCATAGAATGTAGCAAAACTTCAACAGTGGAAATACTTTTTCAGCGGTCAATTTACTGTATTTTTTGTCATGTGTCTCTTTCAGATAATGTTACAGTATAATGTCCCAGACTACAGAAACTCCTTAAGAGATCTTGACTCCCTTTTCCAAAAAACGAGGCTTCTTGCAGAAAGGAGGCGTTCCTAACACAGAGCTGGCAACCATGACATTCCTCAATGACTGGACAGGGTGAGTTTCAGAGGATGTGATGCTGTAATTACACTGTTAAACTTGAATCAGCAGTTCTGACCTGTAGTCTGTCTTCCTAAGCTTTGTGTGATATTGTTTTAGGCCAAAACTGAGTTACCACAGCAGAGCACCAGGGCCTCCCCTCATACCTAAAAAAAAAACACAAAACCATTGACAGCCCTCAAAGGGGCCTAGACCTCGACTGAAGAGGATTAGAACTGGCAACAGATTTGTTGAAGATCATCTCAAAGACTCAACAAAAATGTTAAAGACAGTAGCTATCTTTAACATTTTCTGAACAAACGAGTGTTGTAGTTTCCAGTAACATAAAACAGCAGAACACAAACTAACTTGGCACTGCGTTCCATCCAGAACTCAAGCTGGCTGGTGATATTCTGCTGCTTCCACTCAGTTAAATTAGCCACAAAGACTCCAGGATTGAACGAGCAAGTGTTCGCTCTCACTCCAAGCTTCTTGATCGCCTCTTTTTTTGAAGTCCAGAAAAGCAATATAGCTGTTCTGCATCATGCAAAATAAATATGCAAATCCATGTAAATATATAAAATAGTAATGGAATATATGTTCTGAAAACTTTCTTTGAGTGGTATGACCAATTTCTTGTGGTTAAAACTGGTTTATATGTTTAAAAACCATATGGCTGTGTTTGGATAATGAAAGATACTGCATAATAGGTGTAAAGAAAAAAAAAACCCATCTTATTCTGTATTCTCATTTTTCTCCATGCATCTTCGCCATCCAACTGAGTTATATTATTTTGATGAATTTCTCTGTACAGTGTGAATTCTGGATCAGAACAGGACGATCGTACCTGATTTCCAGCTCCTCTGACGATGCCTTTAGAGGACGTAGAGTCACAGTCCTCTGAGAAAGCTGCTGCATGTCCCAACTTAATACTGCTGTCGAAAAGCTCCTGAATGTCCCCTAAACCACAGAAAAGAATACACTCAATGCTTATTAGTTACTTACTGTATTTGAATGGAAACTGCACTGTATCAAACTATTACTATTTCTGCAGCATACAGACAACAAATACAAATAACTATTGTTTAATATAGAAAGCTGCATTTTCAAACCTCAGCAAACTTCTAAGGGAGGCTCAAGATGACTTCAAATGTTTTGAAAAGACAAACTACAATAAAATTACTACACATCTAGATATTTATTATTATAATCGAGCCCCAAACTTCTGGAAATCTTTCATTTTAATTATATATTTTCATCTATGAGCACTCCTAATTCCCGTAAATGTTGCAGTGATAGTGCCTTCAAATATTGCTGTGAACATTGTGGGCCTAGAGGACAAAAAGGTTGGACCACTGCCCTACAAATTTTCTTTCAAATATAATTACTCATTTATAACTCCACAAAGTTACATATTCAAAAATACATAAAAAAAATTAATAAAATTGAGGCGAGGACAGGTGTTTTTCTTATTCTAGACATTCTAGAGACTATTAGATTGGACAAAACTAGAATTCTGGGGTTTATAAAAAAATACAAACTATAAAATTACGCACTTTACCTTGTACAATAACATCATCATCCAGGTAAATTACTTTCTCTGCATCCGGCAAGAAAACAGGCAAGAAGAATCTAGCAAAGGTCAACTAGAAAAATAAGATGCATACATAGTTACGATACATAATTTCCATTTTCACAACACCAAACAGGCTTATTTAAATAGAAGCACTTGCGATTGATTACCGGCTTCACTGCCTCCACCTTCTGAGGATCAGTAGGACTCTTTCCTGTGAGGATCTTCAGATCAAATATACGATAATTTTGTGCTTCAAGTCGGTCTTACTCAACCATGTTCTGGAATGAGAAATAATCATGTTAATCATGAAACATTATATACTTTATATCATGAAACACATATATATATATATATATATATACACACACATATACGCTGTAATGCAATACAAGGTGTACCTAAGATGGACCACCGACTCATTTAGTGTCACTATATTGAATACTACATTGGCTTTGCTGTTGCGGTAGATGCTGTTCATGGCGGTGACAGCAGCTCCCAGTCTCTCCTCTGGAGCGGTGATGACCACTGGAATCTCATCTCCTGTCCTGATGACCTTATGATCCGACAGGAAGTCCGTCTCAAAGGGCAGCACCATCCCAGGCGCTGTGTCTGCAAACGCACAGGAAAATCAGCGAGGGGGTGCATTTTAAGGTGCTAAAAAAACTTTTAAACTTCACTAACATTAATATATTCATACCTGGATTCTCTTGCTTCAGGAAATCATTGAGATTCAGCAGATTCCGATGCAAAACAATTAAAAAGGCGATGACAAGCAGAACAAGAATAACCACGTTCACTGGGAAAGACAAGATGTCAAATAGAAGTTGTCAAATATTTCAGTAAAAAAAAAAAAAATCTGATTTGTGGAGATATACACACACACACACACTGGTGTGAAAAAGTGTTGCCCCCTTCCTGATTTCTTATTTTTTTGCATGTTTGTCACACTTTAATGTTTCAGATCATCAAACAAATTTAAATATTAGTAAAAGATAACACAAGTGAACACAACATGCAGTTTTTAAATGAAGGTTTTTATTATTAAGGGAAAACAAAATCCAAAACTACATGGCCCTGTGTGAAGAAGTGTTTGCCCCCTAAACCTAATAACTGGTTGGGCCACCCTTAGCAGCAACAACTGCAATCAAGCGTTTGCGATAACTTGCAATGAGTCTGTTACAGCGCTGTGGAGGAATTTTGGTCCACTCATCTATGCAGAATTGTTGTAATTCAGCCACATTGGAGGGTTTTCGAGC